AATGCCAATTCTTGGCTTTTCTTCGTAACCATTCTACCTTGATTTCTAGCAGACTGTCTTTCCATCACAAAATTTGTCTTTAAGGTCGCACTCAAAAGTTGCAGTCACCAGATCGATGGCTCTCGTAGCCCGAAACCCTCTTATTTGGTGCCATTCACTTCTATGGCACATCCGATTCTTCGACACAAAAACCCGACCCAACCTTGGTGAAATGCGATCTGACAGCGCTAGTTATTCTCGCGCAACCTTTGATGACCAAGTACAAGATGCCGACTACTTCAACTTGGCCTGATGCACAGACGAGTCCTCCACCATTACCTTACCTCGCCTTTGAAGACGTCCAGACGTCCTCTATTCTCCAAAACAGTAGGATAAACGCGGATCCCACGATTACTAGTGAAGAGACTTTTTCCTTGAGGCTCAGGAAAGCCAGTGCCTTTTTTGGGCACTGCTCGTTCTTGGCTCGAACATGCACATCGGCTCACAAAAGTAGCTACAAAAAGATTCATTCGTGATCCAAGGATCGGAATTATTAGAATCATTTTTATTGCGCTAGGAACGTCAATCATTTTGGTCCAAAATAGCATGATGCCTGGTTGTCACTTCCACCAACGTTTCCAGCGTAGCCCGAGGTTGAACCGCCGTACGACTGGTACGGTTGCGGTGCCGCTGCTTGTTTATTACCTGAAAACAGATTTTGTTCAAGTAAATAGCATCTTAATTCTGCAGGCGGGCAGCACGGCGCAAGTTTAGTAGGAGGGGCATCCGGCAACAATAGTCTAATTATCCTGAGCGACGAAAGCTCTTAAGAAGGTGATCCGGGGCTCATGGCCTCGGGGGGGGGGGCCAGTGGTAGCTGACAGTAGCGCCAAGTCCAAGAGAAGGGACAAACGCCAAACGGAGAACAACGATTACCTACATCCTTCCTAGAGCCCCTTTCCCCCCACCCTTCCCCACACCCACACTCCCCACACACACAAGCTTGAGACGGCAACAAAATGGAATCTGATCTTGCATTCCTTACCCTGAGACCCATCATTTCATCACCAAGGAATTTTAGTGCTGCTATGGCTCTCAGGAACGCCTACTTCCTTGCCATCGACTGATTTAATGAGATTTGTTGGTTGTAGGCAGCAAAATTAACCTTATCAGCTTTATCACAGCCCTTCTACATGGAACTCATTATTCCACCTTATCCTTGAGGGATCGGCTACTCAACTCTAACCATACCACGCTGAACAACAGTCGAGTTGAAAGTGGCCCTGCTCCTGGAAAAAGTTGCTGGCCACGTCTACTGCGCGCACTCATTTGACTTCAGGCTATGCCTATTGACAGCTGGCTGCCCCGGTCGCAATTGTTCCCTCAAAGGTGTGCCGAGGCCAGTAGGAGAGGGTTTGAGCTTGACGCGGAAGGGTTCAGAAGCGCAGTTCGCTCAGAAGCTGTCTAGTAGCCCCTTGGCCCTCTATGTGGCTGTGCGATTGCTCAACTGATTCTGGGAGGCCATGAGCAGACCGAGAAGCCCACTGACTATGTTCCCAGTTGGAACATCCAGAAACGTCCAGGAAATGTCAAAGCGACCAAATAGTCGCAGGGGTCACTACTCCACGAACAGATCACAGGAAATTCTCGTGACCTGGCCTCGTCACTTTTGAATACGCTGAAACTGTAACTATGACACTATGTCTTGGAAAGTTACTCACCAGATTGAACATTGCCTGCATATTCTTCCCGAGCATAGCCTCCTCCGCCAGTTCCGCTGCCCATGTAACCCGAGTAACCTCCAGCGCCCATATAGCACGACTTGTCACCCATTGCTTCCGGTGGCTCGTACGAGTGGAGACAAGAAAATGAAACAACACACCGCTCTTACCAGCTTTTATATGGCCAGCGATGATATTTGCTATCATGGTATCATCGATTTTTCATTACGGCTAAAGCTAGCGTAAAGTTGGTTGTACACCTTTCGGGTTCTATTCAAAAACTTGTCTCACGGGACAGATCGGGCAGGTAGCCACAAGTTGTGCGACAGCGCTGATGTCACATATTTGTGGGCAAATGTCGAGGACATCGCAACACTGCAACACATTTGAATATGTACGTTAAACATCTCTTCTCCTTCAAGAGCGGGATTAATCCCCTGGCGGGAGGGAGTGGGAAGGGAGGTGGGGGGGTATGGATGAGAGAAAGAGAGACT